ATATATATATATATATATATATACACACACACACACACACACACACACAAAATTAAAAAAATGGCGAGTACTGTTGTCTAAAGATTTTTAACAGAGTCAATCTTACATTCACTAAGAATGTCAAATATTTTATAAACATTTGTATTTATATAAAAACACTTTTAAAAAAGCAAGAAATACCAGCCTTTTTAAGTTACAAATGATTTCAACTTCACATAACATCCGTCATACACTGAAAGTGTCCTAAACCACATGCGTAATACGTACATTACATAGTGTTTGCCCAAGAAATACAAGAATTACTGTACTTGTATGTTGGAAAAATTTATATTAAGTAAGTCTAAGAAATATAAGTACACACATACCTATTAATAATACCATCCAGATACAAAATTTCAAGCCAAGAATGATGTCATAAATACATTCTCTCTAAAAGCATGGAATATGTTACAATAATAGGGCATCTTAGAAAACAAGAAGCACATATTCCTACAGATGAAGCATCAAAAACACGGAATGTTACAATAAACAGATCACCATACAAAGTACATTACCAAAAACAACACATCTCAACAAACAGACTTAATAAACATAAACTGAGAGAAAAAAAACAAAGAGGTCTGAAGACATATTTCACAAAACAAAGGATGTATTGTCATAAATATACCATCTCGGCAATCACAGCATTTCGGCCAAATAGAGAGCTCTAGAAAGCATGCATGGTACCCCATGTTACTAAAAACAGAACATTACAGCAGAAAATAGTAAAATTATCATACCACTAATTCTCACCTACATTTCCACTATTACATTATAGATACTCCCTACCTATTTAACTAAGACTGGGTAATAAAGTGAATTTACCTTAGAGTCATAACTTTAACTGTACCTTAAAAAAGATGTCAAACTAAACATCTTTCGAGTCCTCCTGACAGACAATGGCTGAAAGGAAGTAATGCTGGTGAGAAAAAGAACTGGTGCCTTTGTGCTATAACAAAATAATGCACCAACCCTTAGTAAAAATAAGGTGAAGCCAGAAATGTGGCAAATTCTGGTGAGGTATATTGCAAAAATGGTAAATATCTAGTAGTCTACAAAAGAAATTTGCTTTAGCTCAGATAAATAGATAAATATTGTATCATAATCACTACCCTGATTCTTATTCTTAAAATGCCTTAAAACATAACTCATTATAATTACACTTCACTTACTTAATGTAGTTCACACCATAAAAGTTGCTGTTCAAGAGTGTTCATGATATGAATAATGCTTAGATTATTACTACGTTTTTCATATCTGAACTGGCCTGACGAGCCCTTGTATTGGACAAAAGGCCTCGGTGGCACTGGATATTGCTCACATAAGGTACTTGACATACTATTCCTTTCTTTTGTTTACATATTCTTAGAATTAATAATATGGTTTTCTCCCACTGAAGCTGTGCTTACTTGACCTGCTCCAGAAACAAGAAGGCTAGCTTGCTGGTTTTCCAGTTCTTCTGAATAACAATAAAGTTAGCTCAAGTCAAAATAACAATAATAAATAAACAATAGTTTAAAGAAAGAGAAGTATATTGTGCAAATTCACAAATAACAATAATGATACACCTGCATAATAATCACAAATGATTAAAGAATTAACAAAACATAAAAAACAAAAAACAGATTTGTTTCAACAAGCCAAATTTGCCATTCTCATGGGATGGAGTAAAACTGTTCTCAGAGTCTTGTATGTTCAGATTCGAAATGGTCTCAGATGGGTCAAGGTTCACTAATGGCAGTAAAGTGCAAAATATAGTTTGAAAAATACAACTTTCACACTGAGTTGAGTTCAAAGCTCATTTCATTATTGATCCTGCTTCTCCGTTTCTAAATATTTCTGTTGATTTTCTTGTGTTGTGTTAATGGAAGAATTTGGGTTTTGCAATGATTATGATTGATTGAAAATAATTTTGTGGTTGTTCTGATGACAGTAACTTTCATATTTCTTAAATTGAAAGAGATCGTTTTGTTTGACTAATATAAGCATGATTACAAGAACAAAGAATGGAATAAATACCCTGTCTCTGGTGGGCTTCTTTCTTATCTTCCCCTTTGTTAAGTTTATTTAAGTTTGTTTACTAGCTTAGTTTTATTCCGTTTTAAAATAGCACCTACTTTGTGTGATATCCAAGGATAATAGGGTATCATTAGATAAAGACCATATTTTAATCAATCTGAGGTTATTTGGTTCACCTTGTGACTAAACATTTTTTATTTTGTTGAACAAATTAGTTATCATGCTCAATTTAAATCCTCAAGGAACAGCAATATTTTTTTTCTCAAAATTTGAAAAAGGTATTACTAGGAGAGTTATAGGTTTAAAACCTGGACATCTGATTGACTTTTGCTCAGTTGAATTATTTTAAATATTTTGGTCAGGTACATGGTTGTAAAGGTCTACATCTAAATTGTTTTTTTTTTTTACTTCTTTTTGATTAGACTCAAGAATAAAACAGCCTTTTTTTAGATAATTATTACACTTTTTTTATACCTTACTTATGTTTGAAAGGTATGATTTTTAATTTTATAATTTCAAAAGATTTTGTTTTGGTAATATCTCTTGAAACAGATGCTTCTTACTAACTAGTTAATTTTTCAACTGCTATTTCTCATTACGTTTATTTTAGTTTAAAATTGCACATGAAAGAGATTATTATTCTTTTTTATACGTTCTTAATCAGAATTAGACCTATGCTTTTTTCAGTAGTTAGTCTAACCACTCATTCTAATAACTAAGCAAAGCAGATTGTATCATCCACAGTAATAGTACTACTACTGCAATTTTACACCAGGTCTACTATAACTTGTATAAGTACTGTTGCTTTATGATTCAGTAAGCAATTACTAAAAGTTAAAACTAACAGTAGCACTACCACTGGTACTGTAGTGTAACAGTGTAAGTTGTCACTTAGTTTATAAAATAAAAGTAAAATTAAATCAAACCTATCTTCAACTTCAAGCTAGGGCATTGTACAAACCTAATAACAAAAGTCTATGTGTTGCACGGTATATCTGTTTATCTTTTTGAATTTGCTTCTCTATTCTTTTATTTGCTTCTTTTCGTCGCTTATCTTCTTCAGCATCTCCTTTTGCACTGGAACTTCCGAAGCAACCCATTATCCATGACATCACATTAGTTAAGCCTAACAACAATTTGAGGGGAAGACTACTGTTCTTCCCCTGGGAACAAACTACGATGGTCTTAGCCTACTCAGTGTTGTTAGTAAGACCCTAACACCTAAGCCAAACGACTAAGGTTTAGCCCATGTACATTTTCTAACTAAACTTTTCGCATGTGTCTTACTAACATCAACACAAACTTCACATCAGTTATGTAACTCTCATCAGCAGACACTAAAACTGTCAATTAAAGCTCCACATTTCATGTAATTCGATTCACAGACGTCGGGTATTATTACGCTAACACCATCATTCATGGGTGGGCCGAAGCACGGAATCATGGGTAACGTTCTCTGAAAAGCTCATTTTGAATGCTTCTACACAATGAATTATGATTGTGAGTAAAACTATGTGTTAAAAAATACTCCATGTAAGTCTCTATATATTACGAAATTCAACAAATTAAATTTTCCATTTTAATTTTAAACTTTTTATCGGTCTTTAAATAATATTTTAGCGAGCATTGTAGTATGATGTGTATATGTCATAGATACTAAAATTATGCACACAACAATTACAGCTGATTCTCAATATCACATTGTTTAAGGAAAATGACATTACAACCCTCTAGAGTTCGTGCTATCTTTATTTCTTTTACTTATAAAATATTAGTATAGGTCTTTGTGGTTTAATCGGCAAACATGCCATAGTGAAGATGCACCTATCACTTGTAATTTTAGAATGACGTCAAATACAACTTCCGATTTGGTTCTTCAATTCGTGCTATTTTTAGTATTTTCTTTACACTTAAAGGTTAAAGAGTCGCTTTTGGATTAAAAATATTACGCCAGAATTTGCTGTGGCATTTAAGAATAGTTAATGAAAAAGCATCATGTGCATTTTAATATAAATTTTAATGTTTTTTAAATAAAGAAAATCTGTTTAGTTGGATAAAAAAAGACGTTTTCATAAGATTCCGAATGAATAACATAATTCTAAGAAAATAATACTTTTACTTTCTTATTTCCAGTTTATTTATTTGCAAAAAATATGAGCAAAATTGTTTGGTAGCTGAACTCACCTAAAAGAATAGTTTCACAATATTTTTTTTCTTCTGATTGTTAGTGATAGTAAACATCTGAATGATATATAAAAAGAAGAGCAGAAACCAATCTGAAAATAGTATAAATTTAAAAATAGATCGCATAATTTAAAGATATTGGTTATTAACCCCCACCGGTACTTTAGCGTCTATCCCTTCGACAGCTAGCTTTTTTGTAAGATTAACCTTAAGATTTTTCGTTAGAATTGCTTAGTTTAAAAAAGTATTTTCACAAATAAACAATATCTTAATATACACTTTTTTATTGTTAAATCATAGATAGGAGGGCATATATTTGCGGATACTTTCATTCTAGAATATGGCTGATCTGTCTATTAGCACTAAATATGTATGAGAAAACGTTATCATTAATCAACGGTGTAAAAATCACTACATCATGCAAATGAAAAATAGAACGTTAAAGTAAAATGGTGTGTGTGTGTGAGAGAGAGGGTGTCATAAACGTCTGAAGTTAAACTGTTCTGTATAACTTATCTGTCTTGCTCAATAGCAATCTTTACAGGGACTATATTTAAATTTATAACCGAAAACAAATGTTATTTATAAATTAAAAGAAATAAATTAGGAAAATATAACTCATATGACGAGTATTTATTTTATATACATATAACTCCTCCATCGTTTACCAAAGTTAACAAACAAATGTTATAATATTAATTACAACTCTGATCTCTTGGTTTTGTTTGTTTGTTGTTGTTTTTGTTTTTTGTGTTGTTATTTGTTTCTAATATTATTCGAAGTTTAAATTGCAAAATGCTGACTGGAGAATAGTTAACATAATTATTAATAAGTAAAACGACTTTGAACCCACGAAGATCTTACAAGGAATTTTCCTTCGCTCGACATTTCAGTTTTATGTCTTCATTAGGGGCTTAACATTATCTACAAGTTACGGTTAATAACTTATACATCAATTACTAAATTTGGTTGATTTTATATTACTTTCACGTAAACTATGTCTTTTACTGTCTATATGTGTAAAAGCCTAATATCTGTCTGTCTTTCTGTCACCTTCTTCATCTCATGAACGGTTAATCGTACAATATATATATATATCATAATGCTTCCTTCCAAAAGTACATTACAGGATAATTACTAAATTTTTTTGCAATTTCTAAAATTTCCTATCAATATCAACATTGATCCGTCAGTCTTATGTGTGCTGAACAGTCAATATTAGAGAAAAAAAAACTTATTACGAACAAAAATGTTTCTTTTCTGTGAGGGAATTTCAAGAAAAAACGGGACTTACTCTGTCGACTGATTGAAAGTAATACTTCAAAGATAGTATCATGGACGGAGAAACGCACAAATAGAGGAACGTGCTTGAGCATGTATTGTTGTTGTTCGGTTTATATATATCTTTTTTCATGTCAGTATTATATACATGTATGATTTTATTGTCCCATGTCGAATAAGTTGATATGAATTGAATATCTCCCTTCCCCCCACTGACACGTTTTATAGAAATAAAAACTTTCAGGAAGTGCTCATTTCGGTAGAGGTATTTTCTTACGCTCAGTAAAATGACAAGGAAGGGTGACATACAACGAAAAAATAAACACGCGGCTACTTAGCAAACCTGAGTGCTCTACTGCGCTGAATGCACCCATTGCATTGAAACCCAAACATTTTTTCAAACTATGCATTGTAGTTAGCTTTCTTTGCTTAAAAACAATCACAGTGCAATTTTCTTTACTAAAATAACAAAAATAATGACAAAATGCGGTTGTAAACAGCCCTAGACAATCATATTGCACATACGCTATGATACAATGCAATGGGTTGACTGCACAGTTTTTATTTATTCATTACTATTTTTAGGAAATTTACCATTAAACTGTTTCAATGAGCATCTGCTAGTGTAATATATTTTTCTTTGTTTAAGAATAATGTTTATGGTATTGTAATAACGACCTATATCTACTGAATGTACCTTTATTTGCTCTTTATTTACATTAATAAAAATATCTCAGAACTAGGCAATTAATGTACTTAAAAATTAGCAATTATTCTGAAAGATGGAGACCAATGTCACTTTTACAGAAAATTAAAACCCGTAAAAAAGTTTATAAAAGCATACAATGCCTAAGAATGCTTTATTTGGTACTAGGCAATACTTGTAAATATTACTGAGTAGTAATCGGACAGCAAATAGTTTTATGTAAGTTAAATATTGGTGTGATATGAGGATATGTCATGCATTTACTACATACTCTAATAACATTGAAGTTTTTAAAGTTTGGATTGTTTAGTTTATGCACTGTTATGATGGCTACACATGGTCCAGAAAAGTATTACCTTTGCTACATTCCAGTTGCTTCATTTCTTAGTTCTCTTGTAAGTGATGTTTCCTCTGCCCACAGGGGCATTTCAGTAGTTTATATAGAATCCAGGTTGAAATATTCTTGGATGACTGGTTATGATGTCGATTGAAAGTTACAGCTGACAATGAGTACAGAAGTTACGAGGTGACGTTGTCCACTGGACAAAAAAAGCGAGTTTACATTCTAAATTTGAGCACACTTGGTTTTCATCGTGACTAGTTCAGCAGAGATTTATTTGAGAGATGGAAAGCTGAAGAGCTATTCACTGAGCTAGTAGGGGCGATCCTCTACTTTTCTATGTACGTACGTACTTTGTTTATTTTATTTTATCGAAATAAATGTTTTCTGTTTATTTATAGCATAACTTGAAATTCAATCAAGTTATCAACTACAGAACACTCCCCTTATTTCTTAATCAAATCTGATGTTTTTTGCAGTTTTACCTGTCTGATACTTGTTGGGAAACCAGTTTTATCTGAAAATATCATATGGGCACTGCATAAGCTGGACTGACAGATTTTCTGATCACAGCTTTTATTCTTTATATGACTATCAGCCACAGAGAATTTTGGTGACAAACAAAATATTTGAAGTTTGAAAACTTTGCATCAGTGGTATTCTTTTCTTTTTCGCCATTTCAACCTCAGATAGCTTGAAGTATTGCCCTCACAATACAAATGGGGTTGCAAAGCTGTTTAGAATGCAAAACTTGTATTTATTAATTTGTGTAGTGCTTGTTACATTTTAAGGTATGTAAAAAGTTGCCTTGTTCAACCATAGTTATTTAAAATAGAATCATACCTGTTTTTTACACACACAAAATAAAACTTTAGCAAATTGTTTAGTTAAAGAATGGATCCATTAAAAATCCATTTTTGGTAATAAATATAGTGTAAAATGAAGTACCAAGAAAGGAAACAATAAGTGGTGCTTTTGGAATCCTGTTACTGCTGTAACTCCAAGCAAATCAATATGAAGATTTGTGAAATGTATTTGTCGATATGGGGTGCATATTATTGTATTGATTTCTGCCAAAAATAAGTCATTTACACACAAATGGACTCCACTTTAACATCAAGCACATACATGTAGTACCATTATGTTTTGCATAGGATATGTGATGAGACAAAATACATATCATATATGAAAACAAATGAGATACATACACGAGTTAATAGCATAAGAACAGTAAATATGTCGTCATAAATACTGAAAAACTCAGCAACAACTGTGACATCTAATAATTATACATACCGTGGCATAATATATACTCTAACAATCATAATGCTGTGACATCACATTTTCATGCTTTTTTTATAGCTTAACGATTAACCAGCAGACATGCCTTAATAAAGAAAATGTGATGTAGTTCTACTAACACTTATAAGGTTTCTGGACACTTTCGAGATCACATCACTGATGCATCAGGGTAGAGCATTAGTTTTTATCACACTTATGACAGCTTAACATGGACATTGTGGATTTGAGCATTTCACATCTCTTCATACTCTTTCACATCACATGCATGCGTTATCATAACTACAGTTGTGCTTTCTGCAGGTTATAGGAGTAACATTTCATATCATGCATGTGTTTCTTTCTTGGTGTCTCTCTTGATAACATCCTGAGGGAGAGAAAGCTATGTAGCTAAATACAGCACAGCAGAAGCGATTTTATTTTCATGAATGCAAGTACATACACTGTGTTTTCTTTGTGTCTGTTTAATAATAAAAATTGTTTATTTTTCCTGACTGTGTTAAGTCTCTTCGTTTTGTATTCAGTAAAAGGACTCAGCTCAGTTATATATTATAAAACATCTCCCTTAGTTCCTGAAAGAATCTGCTATTATTGGAGGTTAACTTATACTTGTAGGGAAATTGTTT